GGGAAAGCAACGTGGTGGTCGGGGCGATGGTGTTGCTGGGGAAACAATGTGATGGTGGGGCCACAGTGCAAGTCCCAGTGCAGGGTTATCCCTCAGCCCTCAGAGCACCACGTGGTGTCCGTGCAGCCCCAGTGCTGCAGGTAAACAGCTCCTAATTACGGCTGTTGACAGGGCTCACCGTGTTGTAACCAACCTCGCTGCAGCGTTATTATTTCTGAAGGGAGCGTTTCTCCATATTTTTAACAATAAGTCTGACAGGTGTCATATTAAAAACAGTGCTTAATTCTAATGCAACTATTCCCACCCGCCCTTCCCTTCTCATTTTTGCGCCTCTGTAATGCATGAATTTCTCCTGCTCATAAAGATTAAAGGAGCAGCTTTGCTGGAAGGAAAATACTCCTGGTGTGTTTGTAGTGTGAGTGCATAGAGATGGGCTCAGCCCTGGCTCCAGTCATGGAGAGAGAAAGGGGAGCAACGGAGCCTTCCCTGGGAGGGAGGGGAACAAACCAGGAGCCATTGAAGCGACCTTTCAGGCTCTGTTTGAGCCGTGACCGTGTGCTGGGCTGTGGGCTGCCATGCTCAGCTGGCGGTCGCCCACCAGAGACCCGGCCAGGCCAGCAGCTCGCTTAGAAGTTTACACTGGATTTAAGTCAAAATGCTCAAACGTGGCTGTTCAATCACTGCTAACTGTGTGCTCGGCAGGCAGCTCCCTGCAGGCTCCTCGCTTGTAAAATCCAATACGCCACATAAAGCACCAGTTTACGGAGGGGTGGGGGGAGCAGGAGGTATTTTTCTCCCATCCTACCTGCCTGCTTTCTTGTGCCGCTGCCTTGCACGGGGTCGGGATGGCTTCACTGCATCCCACACGTAAACTGGGCAGAAATGCCACAGTAAGGTGCAACTCTGTTCACGGCTGGAGCTTGGAACTGGCCCTGAAGTGTGTCCAGAGAAGGGCGACAAAGCTGGTGCAGGGTCTGGAGCACAGGTCTTATGAGGAGCAGCTGAAGGAACTGGGATGGTACAGTCTGGAGGAAAGGAGGTTCAGGAGAGACCTAATCATTTTCTACAACTCCCTGAAAGGAGGTTGTAGTGAGGTGGGGGTTGGCCTCTTCTCCCAGGTTACAGCGGTAGGATAAGAAGGAATGGCCTTAAGTTGCACCAGAGCAGGTTCAGGTTGAATATTTGGAAACATTTATTCTCAGAAGGAGCAGTGATGCAATGGCAGAGCTGCTCTGGAAGGTGGGGGAGTCAGAGTCCATGGAGGTGTTCAAGAAACATGGAGATGTGGCACTGAGGGCTGTGGTTTCGAGGATATGATGTGGGTGGGTTGGGGTTGCACTAGATTGTCTTAGTGATTTTTTCAACCCTTAATGATTCCATGATTATAAAATCTGTAAAGTCCCTTCCAACCCAAGCCATTCTGTGATTCTATGATTCCATGCTTTCCACAGCATGGACACTGCCCTTCCTTCAGGCTGCTCACCTGCCTGCATGCTGCACCAGACCTGCATGGTGCAAGCCTCCTCCCCAAGGGGTTGGCTGATGTTCGGTTTTTGTAACTGTTCTTTCAGCAGTGACGACTGTCAGCCATAGCAGTCTCATTAAGCATTTGGTGATTTGCTCTGTACCCCCTTAAGACAGATGATTTTCTGGGATTCAGGAAAAAAAAAAAAATGTAATATTATTTCTTCCTCTCTTTTTTTGCATAAGCAACTGCCCAGCAAATTGATAAGAGCCCTTTTTAATTAGATAGTGAAGTTGTATGGGTAATGTTCCATATAAAAGGTCTATAAAACACAGCAGAATTAATAAAATGATTGCTTCTCATTTAAATCAGGTCCTCCAAAGGGATCTGTATGTCTTGCTTTGGTCTGTTTGTGGTACTTCTCTCTACCACCCAGCCATGAATTGATTAAAATCACATTCCTCACTTAGAACTGGAGCCCAGTTGGTAAGAGATACTGGAGAGCAATTAAGATCTGTGTGCAGACACACGAACCCCTCCCCACTCTAACCCCATAAAATACACACCGAAAGGAATCATTGTGCATTGCTTGGATTATATGCAAACACAGCTCATGTTGACAGCTACCTCTGGATGACTCCATCAGTGCACACTTTATCTCCAGCTGTCCAAGTAATTTTCCCAGGATTTCGCCCCTCTTTTTCACTCCTCTCCACACAGATGGATTAGAGCAACAAACAGTTTACATGCTGCACATCATTAGCTATCCTCCCTCACTACCCAGCAGATAACAACTGGGCTCTATCATCAGGACATTCATAACACCTTGACACTTTTACAACTACACTATTCTCTGCCAGAGCAATCTTCTTTTTTAAAGCACAGAGCTAATTCACCAAACACCCGTTGGAAAGTGCTCTGCAAAGGCAACAGGGGTTGGAGAGAGAAGAAAAAAGCACAGCCCAGAGCAGGCATCCTGTAAATAACATGGTTAGCACTGTAGGAAATCAGTCTGCCACAGCCACTCCTAAAGGTTTGGATGGGAAAAACCGTATGGATAGGATTGGTCTTGTGCTTGGGTATGTTTTCCATTTGGGGTGAGGGAGCAGCTCATTGCTTAGAGAGTTTCAAGCCAGACTGAGCTCAGGCTGATGCCTTTGAGGCACTTATCCTTTGGCCAAAAGCATGCTGAAGGCCAGCCACAGGCTCAAAGGGCTGAGGGCGTAGACACAGCTGTTTAGGAAGATCTTTGCAATCCCAGTCCCATGGGATTGCCCCATCACCAAACTGTGAGGCATTGGTTTTACCGCCAGCACAGCTGGTTTTCCCAAACTGCCTCCATACTCAGGGCATCGAGAACAAAACACAAGCCTGAATCAGCCACTCTGCATGGAAAGAAATATGTCAAATTCTAGCAGTATTTTCCAAGCTTCTCAGCATGCCCCCCTGCCGCCCCTCACCATATATTTTAAAGTATGGTACACGCTTGTTTAAAAAAGAAATACATAAGGAGAAAGAGTAATTACCGTAGCTTAAATTCAGCCTGATAAGAAGGACTTGCACAGTTTGAGCAGCTGTTCCACTGCCATTCAGATTATGAAAATATAATCCTAGAGAACCTTGTCAAGATAAATACAGAGCATGAAATGTATAGGCATTTTTTCCCCTGCTGCATATAATGATCAATTCCAAAGCCACAAGTGATACCGAAGGACAAAATAAGATCTGTCTAGACTTTCTCACTTACAAGATATTGATCATTCCAATGGTAAACTGGTTAGTATCAGTGTGTTTGGCTTGAAAGGTCATGAGCTTAACACCTGACAAGGAGTTATTCAACCTTGATGTAAGTCAAATTATTGCAGTGTTGCTGGAAAGACTTTCTTTAATAATAAAAATACCTACCTGCTCTGAAAACATCTGAAATTTGTCTTCCAGATGTCAGAAGAAAATTAAAAAAATAAAAGCAAAGACTTGGCATGGTTTTTTGCTGGTTCCCCTCTATCTGGTCCCTGCAGTCAGCTCCTTCCTGGGCACAGACAATGCCCACAGCACAGAGAACACCTCCATTTCCATTGGAGCTTTGAGAGCTTGCTTGTTCATAAACTTGGACTTGATAAGAACCGAGACAGCTATAAGGACAGGGACATGGGGGGATAACCATAGGACTATTAAGGGCTTGATGCAAGTTGACTGGATCTTTTCCAAGAACTATAAATACACGCTCTCTTTTGCTTTATCCAGTTATTTTTGTTTTGCTGATATGATACCAGTTAAGGTTAATGGGGTTTGCTTTAATATCAGACGCAGGATCACTTAACTACCTTTAATGAACACTGGAGTCAATGCTTTGTGGAGTGATTCACACAGACATTGCCTCAGGTAAATCAACCAGAAAAATGTAAGCCAGTCAAATAAATAAACCTGACTAGCTGTAAATGTGCCAAATTTTACACCAAAATATATTTGAAAGCCAATGACTTACTTAGGCACATCTAGGATATTAAAATGGAGGGTTTGGAGTCTGTTTCTTTTCAATTGCTTTTCCTTTTTAATGTCCTGCACATCCCTCCTGCGCTGAAACAGAGCTGAGTGTAAAAAATTATTTTCACAAGTGTTTCTAATAGAAGCAAACGCTCTGCAGCTTTGTGCCATTTTTTATTTGGAATGAAAATGAAAAAAAAAAAA